CACTGTCCCCCATCTCCCACGGTCACGATCTTAATTCACTGGGCGGCGCTAAATTGAGACCGTGTCACGGTCAGCTTCTGTCCTTTTGTGATCGTGGGAGATGGAAGGCCAGTGGCTGCAGTACCGCTAACCGTCACTGGGCGGCGCTAAATTAAGACCGTATCTCTGCTTCCCGTACCTGAGACCAAAGAGTCACGACAGTGCTGCAAATAGTAAGATTGGAAGATGTTGATGAAAGGAAAGAAACAGGACAGGAAGACAACTGCTGTTCCACTGTGATTTATTGCCGTTTTCATTAGGAATAACAGACTTGTTGTTTATTACACTGTTATCTCGTTCAATTTGTGTCCTAACATTTGTCGTCCCTTAGCATATTTCAAATCTAGGCATCTTGTTAATTTGGCCCCTTGTTGTTTTTTTTTCTTCACGCTCTCGTATTAGACTCAGGGTCTCGTACAGATTTAGAGAGTAACGTCCATAACGTTCTGATTTTAAAACAAAGAGATTTAGATAATCCAGTGATTTCTTTGCTTCGTCAAAAGACGTAGAAGGCAGCTGGCGGCATTTTCCTCACAACTTTGTTAGACGCGCAGGTGAATCGACGGTGTTGGATGAAACCATGGCCTCGTTGGGGAGGATTGAATTTGCCATTATCGCAATTACCGAAGCAACAAACGTAGAATTGTCACAACACCTTTAATACATGCTGCAAAAGACAAACACAACAAAAAAACGCATCTATCTTTCCTTGCGCCGCTGTTTAGCCAGTTAAACGAACCTTCTGCTTTGGTGTGACGTAAATATTTACCCGTAGGAACAAATGGAACAGTCCGAAGTCAGGCTGTATAGTTGTGTAAATCAGACGTTCCTGTACAGTTTGCTTCCAACATGGCGGGGGTGAGTTTGCGTTTCTCTTACTTTCCTACCTCGTGTAAAGATTTGCTTTTTCCCCTCCCCTGCTTGCAATGCGCGGATGTAAAGATGCAAGTCTTACATCATCCATCTTTCTGTTGGGAAGGCAGGCAGTTGCCTTGGCAACGAAAAGATGCGTGCGTTGTATAGAAGTAACTCGTGCGTTTCATGTGTATCTGTAAATCGTGCGTTGTATACTTGTAACTCGCGCGCGAACGTTGTATACTGTTGTAATTCGGCTTGCGGCGCGAAAACCTTGTTTAATTTCTTGATTTGTTGTTTGAATCTGTTGTGTCACATGCCATGTTAAAATCCATAGAATTCCCAAGACTCTTGTGGAATTGGATGGGTGAACAAGTAAGGAATGTTGTGAGTGGTACACAGCATTCCTTACTTACTGTGTATTAGTTAACCAGTTTTCATGGAATTGTGTTAAAATTCCATGAAATCTTCGGTAGAATCTTAGTGGTGGCATTTCACGTGGTTGCTTTTGTATATCAATGGTTGAATTGTTGTTCTTTATGCTTGCAGTGCGCGGGGCATCTCGCGACGTTGTTATAGATGTAAACATTGTGTAGTTTTAACCCGTGCGTTTTTTTATATAAAAGTAACTCGTGCGAAAACCCTGGAGACTGGAAATATGATGCCCACAATGCAGCGCGAATATCTTACAACACAAAAATGTTACAATGCAACAACGGTGTCGTTCTTTTGCAAACACTTGCACACACGTACACAAAAACGATCTAATAATTATTCTATATACTTACGTATTCTGTGTATGCACATGTAGGATATGTTAGAACCTACGTGAATTGACACCACTAAAATCCATAGAATTCCAAAGACGTGCTCTTAGGAATTAAATGGATTGTTATAAGAGTTAGGTATTTATTTAGAATTTGATCTGTAACATGTCTTTCCTCCCCATGATTTTTCTTTTTGTTTGCCCCATGTAGGAAAGGGAGTTTTGGGGTACTGATAAATGTTAAGCAGTAGATTGTAAATAATGATATAAAGTCTGTTACGCTCGTGCCGACCCTACCACGGGTGAGGCTATTCTTTAGCACCCCCCCCCCCCACCGTTACTATATAGTTATCTTTCTACGGCCTGTATTCACACACGCACACGCACGCACGCACACACACACGCACGCACGCGCGCACACGAGCACACTCATGTAGCTTGCGCCTTAGTATTAGTCAACTTGTATCTAAATCATCCCATATATATAACTTAAGGTTCTTAATTCTAAAACGTAAGAAAGGTTCTGAAGATACGAAATGTGCAAATGTTCAAGAATATAAGTAGTTAAATTCATTGAATAAATTGTCTTATTAGAAAGCAAAATATGTGCAATTTTCTTCTTATATTCACACACACACGCACACGCGTGCGCACGCACGCACGCACACACGCACGCACGCACGTACGCACACGCACACTTTGTCAACCTACTTTGTCAACTTGTATTTAAATCATCCCATAAAAGTTCTTAACTTTTAAAAACTCTGAAAAGCTTCGAAAGAAATGTGCAAATGTTCAAGAATGTAAGTAGTTGAATTCATTAAATGAAGTGTCTCATTACAAAACAAAACATTTGCAATGTTTGCAATGTTCTTTTATTCGAACACACACACATGTGGATGGTGTTCAGCACCAAGGACAGGTATGTTTGTGTGTGGATGGTGGTCAGCACCAAGGACAGGTGTGTTTGCCTGTGTGTGGATGGTGTTCAGCACCAAGGACAGGCATGTTTGTGTGTGGATGGTGTTCAGCACCAAGGACAGGTCTATTTACTTGTGTATTGATGGTGTTTTGGGGCTGGTACTGACGCATTGACGCCTTATTTGCATGGGGGAGGTCTCTCATTTGCATGTTCGTGACACTTCAATGGTACTGTTGGGCGGGGCTATGGGACGCCTTGCGTTCAGAAAAATGGACAACAATCATGGCAATACAAGTCGGTATTAATACATCTCCAAGCAGAACTTTTAATTTAAAGGCTACAGGACAGTATAGAATTGGCAAGACAATTCCTTTAACTGTTACTTTAGCTTACGTAAACAAAAAAGACCTTTCTCCAGGTTTAGAAGTTATATACACATACTATTAGTTTCCATGCAATTTCGTAATTAATAACTCACTAATTAAAGAATCTTGCTACATGTTACCAATTCCGTACAACTACCTCACCAAATAACTCTTTTTGTACATGTATACAGTGTATATTACTTAAAGAAATTAATTCTAGCAACCCTTATATTCCAACCATAACGTTACCAATATATGTATAAGAAGTATACACAGGAATTAAACCCAGGTCCTTTCTTCCTAACATGTGAAAAGTTCATAATATAAAAGTTATATAAAAATCACAGAGATATCTTTACAATAAAATGATGCTAGTTTTTTTTACGTCGATGAAGGTTAGATATCCAGGTAATATGATACGCCAAAAAGCAGTTACTCAAGAAAATCATTTTCCAAAATCATATCCAGTTGCTTGAGTACCTGCTTTTTGGCGATGTTAGTTTTTTTTAATGTTTTTTTTAGACTTAATGTCAAATCCCAACACAGTTTGAAACTGCTGCTCTTTTGCAAGTTGCAAGATGCTAGTCCTATGTCTATATGTACAAGCCGATTGCAGTCCTGTGTCTAATACAAGCCGATTACATACACTTTCTTTCACAGAACTTTCAGCTATAATTTGTATCCACCAAGCAAGCTCTTTGATAATAATTGTGTCAAAACTAATTTTCATACAATTTGATGTGATTTAACTCTCTGACCCATTATGACACTGAATTCTATCAATTTCATACAAAACTATAAAATCTTACAGTAAAACGATGAAAGTAGTGTTAAAAAGTGTATCTTTCAACAGTGACGCTATCATTATTATTACATGTACTATTTACATATACAAAAAGTGTCCACAGCAGTTAAACTAGTTCCGTCACCATAACATGTGGTAAGGGCTACTTACATCATACTAAATTTATGTAATGTGGATTTACATTGGGCCAACCATTGTTTTTAGATTGTTATTCTTCAAAGCCACTCAATACAATATGTTGTTGAATGTATCAGTCAATTCTCCAATCAATCAATCAATCAATCAATCAATCAATCAATCAATCAATTAGTTGTCTAATTGCCTTGTGAACCATGAGGCATCAGGGATGTGTATGTGTGCTGCTGCTGACTGCTGGGGTTCCTCAGGGGTTCATAGTGGTGAGGGCTGTCAGCACCAGGGGCAGCTGCTGTCTGTGATTGGTTATCAACTAACTCTTCATCAATCTGCGAAGCTAAAGTAATCAATCTAGCTGTCTCATCATCATTCTCGTCTTCATTCTCCACATCCTGTGGACCAGCTGCAGCATCTTTAGTAGCTGCTGTCTGTGATTGGTTATCAACTAACTCTTCATCAATCTGCGAACCAGTTGCTAAAGTAATCAATCTAGCTGTCTCATCATCATTCTCATACTCATAGTCCATATCCTGTGGACCAGTTGCAGCATTCTCATACTCATACTCCACATCCTGTGGACCAGCTGCAGCATCTTTGGCAGCTGCTGTCACCTGGCTGTTCTCATATTTGTGGGACTGTGGACCTTCATTTGCAGATTCTATCTCATCCTCATTCTCATAGTCATACTCCACATCCTGTGGACCAGCTGCAGGATCTTTAGCAGCTGCTGCCACGTGGCTGTTCACATATTTGTGGGGCTGTGGACCTTCTCCAGGGTACAGGCAGGGAGATGGAACCTCATAGTCATCATTAAAACTGCTGAGATGCTGAATTTGCCCTGAACCTGGCTGTGATGTTTGTGACGGACTAACAATTTTTCGAGCAGCTGCATCTGCTGGTTCAACCTGGGCAGCGGCCTGGGGGCCAGTTTCATTTTCAGGGGGAAGGGAAGAGGGCAAAACCAAATAACCAAAGCTGTCAAGACTCTGCCTGTTACCTGCACCACTTTCTGACTGATCGACTTCACCTGTCGTGTCATACCCTGCTGTATCAAGGTCCTCATATATTGGGGCGTCATAGACATGCTCGCTGTCTTCTGTATCAGAATGGGATGTTTCAGACTGACTGTTTACTTCTGCACTTGTGCCAACTGCCTGCAACCGTATCTGCTCATGACCACTGGATGTGCCTGTGGGGTTTGTGTTGCTAAAGCCTTGCTGAGGAGGATCCCTTTGCCTCCTCTTATGCATGCACCATACTGCAAAGGCTATAGTGCAGATAAGGAGGAGTCCAAGAATAGCTCCCAGAGTAGCAACCAAGGGAACAGACAGGACAATGCCACCATCAGCAGGGCCAGTAGTGCTCTCAGTTAGTGTCACATTCGAAGCAAAAGGAGGGTCAGTAGAGTCAGGAATGTGTTTAGTGCTGGGAGTGAAGTAGACTGGTGTCGTCCTGTCACAGATCAGGTCTTCAGGATTTAACGTAACATCCCGCAAGAGTTGCCCTGTAAGGTTAGCAGGTCCAGCACATCTGATCTGTTTTTCAAATGGGTAAGACCCGCTCATTCTCTGCTTAAAGGGAGCCATCCTACAGTCACACTGCCAGGGGTTGTAGCGAATGTAGACTGTTGAAATGGAAGCCAGTATGTCATACGCCATGACTGGTAGGGTCTCTAATTGGTTAGAATCTAATGTAAGCTCTGACAGCACTGAAATATTCAAGTTTGATAAGGCCTCTACAGGGAAAGTGTTGATGTTATTACCAGAAAGTCTCAGTGTTTGAAGCTGAAGTAGGTTCCCTAATGTGTCGGCTGTGATGGTCCTGATGTTGTTGTGCTGAAGCCCTAGATAACGTAGCTTTGTTGTGTCATTGAAGGTGCCTGCCTCAATACTGTGGATGTCATTCCTGTCAAGGTCAAGCTTGTCTAAGTTACCGAGTCCATCAAATATGTCAGCTGTCAGACTTGTTAACTGGTTATTGTAAAGCCACAACTCCTGCAGATTACCAAGTCCCACAAATATGCCAGCTGACAGAGTGGTTAAACGATTCGCATAAAGGTACAGTTCAGTCAGGCTGGTTAAGCTGTGGAATGTTTTGTTATGGATCATGGAGATCTGATTGTAACCAAGATATAATCTTGACAAGCTCCTGTACCTTGAGAAATCAGACTGACTTAAGGTTGTGATGGAGTTGCTCTGCAGGTCCAGCCGAGTGATGTTTGTAGGCAGGTCCTGAGGAACACTGGTGAGGCCTCTGCTCCTGCAGACACAGAATGATGAACAGCTGCTGCTGCAGGCTGCGGTCGGGCCAGCTTCCTTCAGGATGATCATCAGCAGAACCAGCATCTTCCTCGCTTTGTTGGACATACTGAAGTGTCGCCTGTACAACAGAGATTAGTAGTAGACTGATTTACTTATTCATACATTTCATTTGATAGACATATATTCAGGGCTCAAAATTCATTTTTGGGAATACTAGTAGGTGCACTGATACACCCAACCTAGAATATTGGGTGTACAAAATTTTTTTCGGTGCACCACAAAATGTAAAATAAGGAGAATACCAGCAAAAATTGTTTCATTTCTTAAGAAAAGTGCTATTAATAAGAACAATGGTTTTATCATTTCTCTGACACTTAGATGTTAAGAATATGCTGTATACATTTAACGTCTTTACATAGTTACGTAAACCTACAAAAATATTCGGGTGCACCCACAGAAAAAAATTGGGTGCACAGCTCCAAATTTGAGTGCACTAAGGTGCACATGCACCCAGTATTTCCAGTCCTGATGTTGAAAGTCATGGCAGCCATAGGCCTGATTTGTCAGTGACTTACATTTAATAAAAAAAATTAATTTCAGCATTTCACCCCTAATTTCCAAAAATACACAAGCACAGTAAGAAATTTAGGTGACTTGCTGTCGTTAATGTGTAGTTTTTGTTTGATTCTATGATGGTTTAGTGGCTTAGGTGTGGCGATACATTTTCAGTAATGTTTTAATTTGACCCCTTGATTTTTATATACACTAAATACGTGCTACAACCAATAAACTTGCCAAAGCCTAATATTGCTGAGAAAAGTGAGAGTTGGTAAGTAAACTAACCTTGGCAGAGATTTTTAAGATCCTGCTCCAATCCTAGAAGAAAAGACTGCAGGGCACAGTTTTTTCAGTGGCCCACTAGACAAGGAAATGGCATCTGCAAAAACAAACTAAAGGTGTGTAAGGCCGTCTGTAAATCAAAGAATCATAAAGTACACTATTCTGATGAAATTTAAGATATCTGAGAACTAAGATCAGTAAACAGGCCACAGAGTTTGGAAATTTAGAAACATTTCTGCAAGATTTGAGTATGTCATAATTCACTCCATAATAGTGTGTATAATGTCACAGTGGTAATTGTTTCCTCCTTGTTATGCTCAAGTATATCTAAAATTATGAAATCTCTTTCAGCTTGTATGAGTGTCAAGAAGAGGCAGACATCCTACACAGAAAGTTCCTTGGATCTTTAACTTGGAAGGAAAGGATAATTCTAGAAGGTGTCTGACTGTGTGTCAACCAAGCCACTGCCTTCAGATATTTTCCCTGTTTGACATTTCCTCGTCGCCATTTTGTTATGACGCATGAACTAAACATTTTAGATCTGGCAATGTTTGAAACGATTTTACTTGTTATGGCCCCAAAATACATTCTGATCAAGTAGGGGGTTGAGAAGAAGTTGATTTGACTCACCTCAGTATGGAAGGAAGTTGTCTGAAGTCTGCAAACTCCTTAAAATCGCAGAGAGTCCATCTTAATTGTGTCCTTCAACCCAGCGCTGAGGTGGTTGGACTACCTGAGATTAATTACAGACGTTGACTTCAACCGATACCGCCCAGAAAATCTTGCATGCCCACAGGTGATATCTGTGGTAGTTAACTCTGCCAGCCTTGTGAACATAATGAGTTGTGCATGATACAATCTAAACTGCTATATCAGGGCTCAACATACTTTCTTATACAGCTATTCAGCTATAAGTATAATAATTGTAATTCATACCCATCCTGACTTTTCTTCACCCTGCAAAACTGTAACTAGTCCATATTGGTTTCTCCAATCCTGAATTTTATCCTGTCAGAACTGCAGATTTCAGATGAGTATTTTGAGCCCTGCACTCTGACGTCAGAAACCAAAAAGTTATTCTGTGGAATAACCAAAAGTTTCCTTGCTGAGTGAACTTTTTTCCAGAAATTAAGTGGGTTGCCTCGGACAGAATTCTTTCGATTATGTCTTGTTGCTCACTGGAGTATATAATTAACGAGATCGGGCTCTTGCAATAATAGGTTCTAATCATCTTTTATCCTAATATTGCATGTAAGGATACACCAATTTTTTTTTAATTTGTAATTTGTTCTGAGAATATTGGTTCTGAAGTAAATTAAAAATACCGACAATATTTTGCCCCCAAGTCCTTTTCTTCTTAGTTGTTACAGTTACCATCTCTCAATGTTTTAGTAAAAGTTCAAAATTTATTGTATAGATCTTAACCCTCTCTTTTATGTTCATGTTCATGGTTTTTATGATAGCATTTGGGGCTATCATAGAATGCTCTATCATAGTCTGTTTTTTTTGTCCTGTTGCTTCAATTTTCTTCTAAAATAATCTGAGAAACAACAAATGAAATTGGTGTGGCCTTATCCCAACATTGAATGTAAATATTTGAATGGATTAACTGTGCCCCAGGTTCAGTTCCCTGATTCTAAATGTAATTTTTAGCTCTAACTTTGAGAGAATATGTGAAAAGAAAATGTGTAGCTTATTTTCTGTTTCATTAGTGCAATGCGAGTCAACATGATCTACTTTTTATGGATGAAAACCTGAAGAAATTAAATATCTGAATGATCAAGAAACCAAATGTATAAGTGACTTCAGTACCTTTGCCCGTCACCAGGTGGCGCTAAATTGAGACCATGTCAGGTGCAGCACGATTGTGACACACACACACATACTCACACACACAGACTATCAAAATCAACATCCAACATAAGACCAGAGTCAATTTAATAAATCCACTTTAATAATAATAATAATAATAACTGATATGCTATGGTTTGATATTCTGCATTAGTGATTGAACGAGTGATTTTATATACACTGAATATTGGTTGGGTCTCATTCAAGCCTTCAGCTGATATTCCATAAGTACAGCCTAGACATAAAAAAAACATAAGTAATTATTTTTGTTTAAAACATAAAACTTTGACTGCTTCGGTACATTTATAAATGTATAGATATATATTCATATATGAGATGTTGAAGTACAACGAAGATGCCTTGCACTATAATATGGGTACAGACTGAAATCTGCAGTACTTTCATGCACAGATAGGGGGCATGACTATACATACAAGTCAACAAAACACTTCAGTAGGTGTTGAACTGTCGACCTTCAGAATGCAGCACATCACTGAAAACCTCCCCAAGAATCCCCCAAAACACTCAGGCAGATTTTAACTCACAACTGTCCTAGCCGGTAAAAACCAAGCAGATGCAGGGTGTGGCTTGTTTTCCACGTATTTTTGCGCCTTTCTGGTTAACTCTTACTGTTAGCCACCACATATGGGTAAAGCAAGCCAGACTTGTATCTGCTTGAAGATGACTGCCCAGCAAAGGGTACCAGTGTGGTCATGATTTAATGATGCCTAATTTGCATGTAGAGGTACCTCATTTGCATATTCGTGACACTTGAATTGTACCCTCACCCTATGACCGTGTGAGATGGGGTTCTCCTCATGATTTTACAGTGAGATGTGCATACTGATGGATTGTGTCGCATACAGTAAAACTACAGAAGTTCTACAACAGCCAGTTAACATTGCACTACACCAGTCCGATGTGTACCTGTAACGTTACCTGTTCTACCTGCACACATGTTCTCTAACATATAACATCTGTGTCCATAATATCACCAGGGTCCATAATATCGCCACCTTGAGAAATAGTGTGCTTTAAGATATTTTTACTGCAACATACCCTAGGCATGTACATTTGATGTGTGAAGGAGTGCATACAAAAGTATGTTGCAGTAAAAATATCTTTAAGCACACTGTTTCTCAAGGTGGCGATATTATGGACCCTGGTGATATTATGGACCCTGGTGATATTATGGACCCTGGTGATATTATGGACCCTGGTGATATTATGGACCCTGGTGATATTATGGACACAGATGTTACCTGCAAGCTAACCTGTCTAAGGTGACAGTCACTGTTGCAGGAACCCTTTATTTTCTGCAGTCTCCACTACCTTCTTAAAAGCTGATCATGACATAACTAAAAAATACAAACTTATTCATATCTACATTAAAAATAAACTTACATATTTCCATAATATAATAGTGTCTCTTGATAATAACAGGTTTTCCGTGATAAAACAAGTAACTAAAAACATCGATATGCAAATCGGAGAGAAGGATACAAAAGTTAACTTACATGATTTTTCACACGATAGTCGAACAAAGCGCTCCGCCAAGACTGAACCAAACCCCTTCCCCTTCAGTAGAAAGAAATTTGTTATTTACTCTGATATAAAAATATATCTTGCTCCGTATTTGGTAAGAATAAACATAAATAGAAACTGTACAAGTGTCTTAATACTACATGAGGTACCGGGGCGCTTAAAACACAATACTGCGTTTTCCGAAACACAAATTTTCCACTACAATATAAAACATGGCAATGTGGGATCGCATGAAATTTTTTAACGGCCAGATTTGAATTTCTAAGTACATTTCTAATATGATTCGAATTTCTGTCACTCGAATTGCAGGAGTTCAACATCAGAATTATTCAATAACAAACGTTGATGATATGTTTCTCTACCTCCTACAATTTTAGACTTGTGAACATGAAAAAAAAAAAATGTGCACAGAAAATGCATGTCGTTAACTAATGTGCACAGAAAACAGACATGTCAGCACCTAGTGGGCACAGAAACTGAACATGTCACCAAAACGTTGTGCACGGACATTGCGTATGTAACCTCTATTGTGCACATGATTTGCACGTGCGTACACAGACTGGCAAGACTTGCACTTGACCTTCAGAGAGGCAGCGGAAAAATCAGCTGCTCCTCTTCCTCGGACCACTCCAAAGCAACTACCCAGTTTCTCGTCTTTCCTTCAAACATTTTCCCAAGGTCAGGACAAATTCAACATGGCTCAGGCATATCAGGTTTCAACTGGGTTGTTAGGGCAATGCTGATTGGTCGGTAACATTTCTAAAACAGGGAAAAGAAACCCGAGAACCAGATAATGGCATTGGAGTGGCCTTATTGCTGCAAATTTACACCTAAGTAAGGCTGAACTAGTCACATAAGGCACCTTTACAATAATTTTTTTTTTGGTTACAAAACTCTCGTCAAATTTTTTGTACAAAACTAAGTACAGACCAGTGTCGGTTCTCCCGTACCCTGTCTCTTATATACACATGGGGAGGAAACTTTACCATATGTTACACACGCAGTGTTCTCACCAGGAGTTTTTCACAGCACAGGGGTCAGGTACAGAAGGGCAACTTTTGCGGCGCAAGTTGCGTTTTTTGAAAAATTTTGAAACTCATAACCCCCTGAGACACTATTTCTCACTTCTTGGGGGACAGATTTTGTAAAGTTATGGTTTTCCCTTTGCTATAACTTCAATCGAAAGTTATATTTTCATTTTTTGCAAGATTTATGAAGGTTCCCCCCAAAAAAACACCCCTATGCTGCTTGAAAGACAACATAGGGGACTTTGGGGTCCAAATAACAGCATAGGGGGCCCCTATGCTCAAAAGGCCTGGTGAGAACACTGACACGGCAACACCAAGTCAACTGCTCGGTTCTCGGACAAACCGGATTTCAACTGGCCGATTATCGGAGTTACAAAAATAATGTAGATTTGAGACTAAACATGGAAACAGTCTGGGGAAAAGTCAGCTCCTTGGTACAAACAGAATCGTGGAGTAAAAATAGATTTAAGTTTTCCTCCTGCCTGTTTCCATCTGAATCTCGGCTAAATTGTGAAATTGTCTGAGAACTGAGAAATTAAATTGGTGTCGCCTCAGACTAACTCTTACTCTAGCTCAGAAGCTCCTTGGCTTGAATTTTCAGGTCCTTAAGTTGAATCTTACCCTTCGTGAACTCCTTAGTTCTACAGATCAGAATCTTACACCACAGAAGTCCCTCGGATTGTGTCTTAGACTTTCGTAAATCTCCAGTTCGAATCTTGAAGTCCTTTAAGATGGCATCTTCAGCTTCAGAAAGTCCTTAGCTTGAATCTTAAGGTCCTTACACTTTTTGAAGTTTTCTTACACTTTCTGAAGTTTGTGTCTTACACCTTCATAAGTCTCCAGCTCGAATCTTGAAATCCTTTAAGATGGAATCTTCGGCTTCAGAGAGTCTTTAACTTGAATGTTAAGGTCCTTCGTAACAGCGCGACACTTCTGAGGGGCGACACTTTTTTCAGGCATCACTTTGCAGCACGCCGGGCGGCAATTTGTGGGTCCCGTTGCCGACCTTCCCATTGCCATG